AGAAATGCGACTGGCTGCGGGATAGAGTGAACCTACTCGGACACTCAGTAGGGACGACCGGTATTTTACCGCAGAGGGGGAAGCTCCAAGCTCTCCAGAAAATGCGCGCTCCGCAAGACTTCAAAGAGTTAAGGTCACTACTTGGCTTACTTTCGTTTCACAGACGGTTCGTACCCGCGTTCTCCGACGAGGTACAACCCCTACAAGAACTGATGAATGCACACAAGACCCTACCTTTCATATGGGAGGACCACCATGAGGCGGCATTCCAGGAACTAAAGAACCTCGTAGTAGGCGCTGAACCCCTGCAACCACTAAGACCGGAAGGCCAGTTGGTTCTCAACACCGACGCTAGCGGGTACGCTATCGGCGGCGTGTTGTGTCAGGTCGTGGATGGTGAAGTAAGCGTCATAGAGTACGGCAGCAAGAAGCTCACCAACCACCAAGTCAACTGGGACACGCGCGAACGAGAGCTGTGGGCAGTAAAATACTTTGTCCAGAAGTGGGATGGCTACATCAGACTCAGGCGGACACTGGTCCTTACGGATCATCGCAACCTATCCTTCTTGGCGAAAGCCGATAACGGTAAGGTAGGCAGATGGGCGCTATTCCTCCAGCAGTACGACCTAATGTTCTCTTACATCCCAGGAGAGTCTAACATGGTCGCTGACGCGCTCAGTCGACTGACCGACGGTGACCCGGACGGAGACTCCGACCTTGACAAGATGGGCCTCAGGTGCTTCTGCATCCAGAAGCTCGACCATACCGCACTGGATTGTCCAGGTCCCAAGGACTTCATGCGAGAGTTCAACCCGTCCCTCGACAGCGAGGACCAACTAATCACACGAGACGATGGTCTTAAACTACACGCACGCACGGGTAGGACCTACGTACCCACCACACTGAGGTCTAAAGTCCTCGCATGGTATCACCTAGGTGCAATTGGCGGACACATGGGCGTCACCAAAACGATTCGCAGGATCACTGCTCTATTCTGGTGGCCAGGTCTAGCCAAAGACGTCAGAGACTTCGTCAAAGGTTGCTTCGTATGCACGCGATACCTGCCAACAAAAACACTCAACAGAAAGACGGTAGGAACGTCAGCAATGGCGTCATTTCTCGACAGAGTCAGCCTAGACCTGATCGGACCACGCATGTTCAAAGGCAACACCCACTACATACTTGTGATTATAGATACAGCAACACGGTTCCTAGTAACCCGAGTGATCCAAAGCAAAGAAGCGCAGGTGATAACTGACGCCTTTGCACAAGGGTTCGTTGCGTACTTCGGTGTGCCGCGGCAGGTCTACGTAGACAACGGCAGTGAGTTCGAAGGCGCGTTTGCAGCGTTCATAACAAAAGTATTACGGGTGGATATCGTAAAGTCACCACCATACGTGCCAAGGAGCAACGGCATAAACGAAAGCAGTCACAAAGCCCTCGAGAGCCAAATTGCGAAAATCAACGCGGACTCCCCAAACGACAGCTACGAACTGCTAGTTGCCCTAGCAACGTACACGCACAACG